TCTAGTCCTCCCTTGTCTGAGCACGTAGGGCATGCTTTCTTTATGGCAGTGAACTATAAGGATATGTATGGAATGTTTCTGCCCAGGGAACTCCATTCCAGTCTTAGGATCTGAGACTTTTATAGGGGATCTGGTTCACACATAGACATGTCCTGCTGTGCAGCCAGCCATGGTACATGAAACTCAGGCATACATCATCAGTCTTGATGTTTGTGCAAAGCAATTAGACAAGCCAGTAGGCAAAGTCCATTGCTCTAGTGTATATTACAAAATCATCAATAACCAACATAAAGAAAACTCTAAAGACCACATTCCTAAGGATTGGCCAACAATCAGTCCTCGTTCCCTTGGGAAAATACAAGGACTAATTAATCATACCTGCATTGTAAACTCTTTCCTTGTGGGTGGCATGGTAGATGAATGTTTAACCTGTTAAAAAACTGTTCAAACTATTTTTCAAAATGATTGTTGCATTTTATTCTTCCACCAGCAGTATATGAGAAATCCACTTGTCTTACATCTTTGCAAATGCATGGTACTGTTAGGCTTTTAAAATTTTAGTCATTCTAAGTATATAGGGGTATTTCACTGTGGTTTTAGCTTGCTTTTTTCTAATGACTAATGATGTGAACATCTTTTCATATGCTTTTGGCTATTCATATCCTTTTATTGTGAAATGTCTTTCATATCTTCCATCTTTTTTTTTTTTTTTAAGTTTATTTATTCTGAGAGAGAGAGAACGAGCAGGGGATGGGCAGAGAGCGGGAGACAGAGAATCCTAAACAGTTTCTATGTCATCAGCGTAGAGCCTGACACAGGGCTCTGTCTCATGAAGCATGAGATCATGACCTGAGCTGAAATCAAGAGTCAGACGTTTAACCAACTAAGCCAACCAGGCTCCCCATTGCCTCCTTTTTCTTTCTTTCTTTCTTTCTTTCTTTCTTTCTTTCTTTCTTTCTTTCTTTCTTTCTTTTCTTTCTTTCTTTCTTTCTTTCTTTCTTTCTTTCTTTCTTTGTTTCTTTCTAACTGTCTTATTATGGAATTGTCAGAGTTCTTCATGTATTCTAGATACAAGTCCTTTGTCAGATATCTGTATCACAAACAATTCGTCCTGTTCTGTGGCTTGCTTTTCTTTTTTTTTTTTTTATATAGTGCTTTAGAAGAACAAAAGTTTTGAAGTTTTATACATGTATTGATTTTTATATATATGATTCATGTATTTTGTATTCTAAGAAATCTTTGTCCCAAGGTCACATAGATTTTGTTTTGTTTTGTTTTTAGTTTATTTATTTATTTTGAGAGAGGATGTGTGGGCAAGCAGGGGACAGAGAGAGAGGGAGAGACAGAGAATCCCAAGCAGGGTCTGTACTGTCAGCACAGAGCCTGATGTGGGTCTCAAACTCAAACAGTGAGATCATGACCTGAGCCGAAATCAAGAGCCAGACACTTAACTGACTACGCCACCCAGGTGCCGCCACATAGATTTTTTTCTATATTTTTTTATAGAGATTTTATAGTTTTAGATGCTATACTTAGGTTTGTGATGCATTTCAAGTTAATTTTTGTGTATGGTATGAAATAAGGTTGGTGTTCATTTTTTTCTTGTATTGGTATTCAGTTAATTGGCATCAGTTTTAAAAAAACTTATCTTTTTCTATTAATTGTCTTGGTATCTTTGTAAAAATTCAGTTGACCAGTTTTGTTTGAACCTATTTCTGCAATTTTTTTTGTTTACTTGATCTAAATATCTGTCTTTATACCAATACCATACTGTCTTTACAGTAGTTTTGAATTCAGGTCATATGTCTTCCACCTTCAGTCTTTTTAAAAAGTTGCTTTAGTTACTTTAGGTCTTTTATATTTCTGTTTAAATTTTAGAATCAGCTTGTCAATTCTGTTTTTAAAAGTCTCTGGAATTTTTATTGAGGTTGTATTGAATTTGTGGATTTGAGGAAGAGTTGCCATTTTAATGATACTGAATCTTCTATTAATGAATATAGTTTATCTCTATTCTCTTTACTTTTTTTTAATTACTCCCAGCAGTGTTATTTTGGTTTTCAGTGTACAGAGCTTGCACATAATTTTATTAAATTTAACTGCTGTTATTTCATTTTTCTAAATTTTGAGATGATTATAATAATGCAGTTGTAAAAAGTAATACAGAGATCCTGTATACCCATCACTCATTTTCTCAAGTTGCTAAGGTATTGCATAAGTATAGTAAATATCAGAACCAGGAAATCAATATTGATCCAACCTACTGATCTTATTCAGATTTCACCAGTTTTACATGTACTTATTTGTGTATGTGTATATATATTTAGTTCTACGCAATTTTATCACATGTGTGGATCTGTAGACCATTACCACAGTCAATATATAGAAGAGTTCCATCACAAGGATTGTTTTTGCTACTCCTATATAGCCACAGACATTCCCCTGCACTCACCCTCTCCCTAACCTCTGACAATCACCAATCTGTTCTCTATTTCTATAATTTTGTCATTTAAAGAATGATATATAAATTTAATCATGGGAACTGGCTGTTGTCACTCAGCATAATTCCCTTGACATTTATGCAAGTCTTTGCATATATCATGTTTGTACCTTTTTATTGCTGAGTTAGTATTCCATGGTAAAGATTACATCATAGTTTGTGTAACCATTCACCCATTAAAGGACATCTGTGTTTCTTGTTTTGGGTTATTTTGAATAAAACTGGTATGAACATTCACATGCTGGTTTTTGAATGAACATAAGTTTTTATTTCTTTGGTATAAATGCCCAACAATGCAATTGCTGGATTGTACTGTAAATACATATTTAATTTTGTGGGAAACTGCCATACATTTTTCCAGAGTGGCTGTATCATTTTATTTTCCGATTAACAATGTATAAGAGATTAAGTTTCTCCACATCTTCACTAGCATTTGATGTTGTCATTATTTTTTATTCTAGCCAGTTTGATAGGTTTGTACATTTTCTCATTTTGTTTTAATTTGCATTTTCCTAATGGGTCACTATAGTGAACTTGTTTGCCTTCTGTGAATCTTCTTTGGTGACATGCCTGTTCATGTCTTTTGCCCGTTTTCTAAATTGAATGGCTTATTTGTTTAGTTTTTACTGTTGAGTTTTGAAAATTCTCTATATATTCTGCATGATAGACTTTTGTCAGGTATATGTTTTGCAGATACTTTCTCCCAGTCTGTAACTTTAATGCTATTATTTTTTTTAATTACATATTCCAGTTGTTCACTCCTAGTGTGTAGATACATTAACTCTTTCTTATTTAAAATATTGATCTGGTATCCTGTGACTTTGCTAAATCCACACATTGTTTCTAGTGGCTTTTTTTGCAGATGTCTTAAGAATCTCTCCATGTCTTCTGGAAATGAAGACGTTTGTTTTCTAGTAGATATTTTCCTTTCTAACTATAATTTGTATATCTATTTCTTGGCTTATCACACTAGCATATCTAGTATAATGTTGAATCATATTGCTGAGAATAGATATCTTTTTCTTGTTTGCATCTTAGGGTACAGGAATTTAGTCTTACTATGTTAGCGGTGGGTATTTCATAGATACCCTTTATCCATTTTTAGAAATTTTCTTTTATTCCTAGTTTACATACACTTTTTATCATGAATAGGTGTTTGATTTGTGTCAGATGCTTTTTCCATGTTTATTTAGGATATCGTCTGTTTTCTTCTCTTCTTATTTTTGTTAGTATGAGGAATTACTAATTACTTTTCCAGTGTTGTTACCAGCCGGTTTTTTGGTTGATCATCATGCATTACCTTTTTCATATGTTCTTAGATTTGGATTGCTAATAATTGCTTGTTTTTAGTGTGTCTGGGATACATACTTACACATTATTTATCAATTAACTTCAGTACATATTTTTTCTAACAAGGAGTATTCCACTTTTTCCCTAATTATTTATGGAAGAAGGATAGAATTTTGAAACCAAGTGTTTTTGGTACTTGAGGTGTCATCTTATTTATCTTGGATACTTCCTGGACATACTCCAATTTTTGGAACTTGCATTAATAGAATATCTTAAACCAGTTCTGTATATCTATAGTGTAAATGTTGTTCTCAAAAGTGTGATTGTGGCTTGCTGACTAAAATGCTGGGTCAGAACAGAAACTGACTAAGTTCTAACAAATTACCAAGCATGTGATTTTTATTATTTATCAAGATTGATAGCTAGGAGATCTTCAGGAAAGCATATATCCATAATCTACAGAAATCTAATTGCTTTTCTTTTTTTTCTTTTTTTAATGTTTATTTATTTTTGAGAGAGAGAGACAGAATGTGAATGGGGGAGGAGGAGAGAGAGAGGGAGACACAGAATCTGAAGCAGGCTCCAGGCTCTGAGCTGTCAGCACAGAGCCTGATTCGAGGCTCGAACTCACGAACTGTGAGATCATGACCTGAGCGGAAGTCGGACGCTTACTGACTAAGCCACCCAGGCACCCCCAGAAATCTAGTTTCTTAACATTACTACTATTTAAATTAGAACGGAATTGGAAGAATTGACTAAAATTAAAGTTTGTTTGGTTTTTAGTTCTGATTTCTGTTTAAGTCCCTAAATGTACTTTTAAAGCTATCAAAATGTAATTCAACGTTTGTACTAGGTCATCGAGACTCAAATACATCTGATGTTCCTTAGAAGAGCACAAAATTAATATTCTGTGATACTCAACAGTTAAACTTTGTTGGTTTTATTCCTATCATGGAATAAAAAGGTATTCCTATTAGTCTCTTTGCCACTCTCCAGCCCTTGTCAGTTGGGTTATTGCTGTGTTACTTAGTAAAGTGTAGAAGAAAGGGTACTTACTATAAGTTGAATCAGTAGACTTGGATTGTCTTGCTATGTCACTTATTTGACTTATACAAGTTATCCAGCATTTCTAATCTTTACTCTTTTATATAAAATGAGAATTGGTGATGATGTGAAGGAATATAGAATTGAAATATTATATCTTCTATTTCAGTCTGAAAACTTGGAGAATACGGTAATCATACCAGATATCAAATTACATAGCAATCCTTCTGCTTTCAATATTTATTGCAATGTACGCCATTGCGTTCTGGAATGGCAGAAAAAGGAAACATCATTGGCAGCTGCATCTAAGAACTCTGTGCAGAGTGGAGAATCAGATAGTGATGAAGAGGAGGAATCCAAAGAGCCCCCTATCAAGCTTCCAAAGGTAAGTCACTAAATTCCACTTGGATGGATAACCACAGGTGTTTGGGCTATAGTACATATATTTACATTGCTAAAATACCTTGTTTTTTAATAAAATTGTGCACTCAAAATTAATAGGGCTGATGGGTTAAAATAGGTTTGGGGCAGACCAGGAAAACTCTATGCATCTTTATAACTGGAGTGCTAACAAAATCAATAATTGGTAACCCAGTGGAGAATACTTGACAGCCCAGGAAGAAAGATCAGGGGCTTTTAAAAATGTACAAAAGCAGTAGAGTGGAAATGGAGGCTTGTAAGCACTGAGCCATTGCAGCTAGAAGTGGAGCTCTGAGCCAGTGGGCTGCCATTAAGGTGGGCGTAAGCAGAACTGCAAACTACCACCAGCCAAGAGCCATAGTAAGCTGGGGGTGCTTCCTTCTGGGGAGGGAGCCTTGGGTACAGGTATGCATTTTTATTTTTCTTCAAATAGAACTAGGAGGGCTCCTGGCTGTGCAGCTGCTGAGTTGAGAGCTTTTTGCCTTTTCTTCCTTAGGTTATGATTGTTCTCTTGCTATTTTGGCTCTCCTTGCCTAGGAAAAAATTACGTATGAAGCAACAAAACTTCTACATTGTTCTGATATCACTCCCTTATTTACCAGAGACATGTTAGCTAATTGGTGTTAAAGAAGCATGTACTATAGTAGAACAAACTATTCTTAAGGTACTCTCTTCTATTTAAGTGTTAGTGTATTTCAAGACTGTAATGTTATTGTATATATGGTATTTTTTCTACATTGTAGGTATAGTTAGTATTTCTAACAAAAGAATAGTGACAATATAGACATATTTTTAAAGGGGTATCTATCATAAATGATTTATATGTATATTGCCTTTTTCTAAATGTAAACATTTTGAAATGATTTCCTTTATCATAAATGGTTCAGTGTGTTGCCTTTTTACTAAACTGATACCTTAAAGCTGTGCCTTAAAAACTTTTTTATACATACACACAGGAGCTATCATGCCAATATTTTTACTAAACTGATACCTTAAAGCTATGCCTTAAAAACTTTTGTACATACACACAGGAGCTATCATGCAAATATCATGCACATATTTTGCCATATTTCATGGTGGCTATTCCTAAGTGCACCACAGCCCTTAATCAGTACTGTCACATTCTTCTCACCTTATTCTCAGCAGATGGCTTGCTTCCTGTTTTATAGAGTAAGAGAAGTTTTGTGAACTTCCTCAGCCTTTTAGTCAACCATCTTTAAGTGTTCTTCTTGGGACTCTTCTTCCTTTAGCCCCTTTCTCTCCAGTGTCCTTAAGTATAACTTCTCTATTGGCTCCTTTCTTCTTCTTAAAACAAATAAGCTTATCTTTTCTGTGTAAGCTCCTCTAGGTAAAGAGTTTTCCATCAAGTACTGACACATCAGGAAACAGGGTATAGTGATTAAGAACCTGGGCAGTGGAGTCAAACAAACTGCCTGCGTTCAAATACTCACCCTTAAAAATAACTGTGTAATGCTGGGGAAGTTATTTGACTTATCTGTGCCTCCATTTTGTCATCTATGAAATGGAGATAATATATACCTCACAGGGTTGTAGTGAAGATGCAGTGAGTTAACAAATGTCAAATACAAGTGTGTGAGTAAATAATAGGTATAGTTGTAAGTATCAGGTTAGGTGAAAACAAGAAATTGTGTAGGTGCAAATGAATTTGAGTTGGTTTTCGAGGAACTCCTCGAATTATTTATTAATAAATACTTTATGTCCAAGGAAATAAACTTCTGGAAAGTCAGTGAGACCATGTGACGAATGAGAGGGGAAGAAGTTTTGAGATGCCTTTATGCAGAGGCATTCAAAATGCTGTGGGTTAGGGCGTGGGTGGGGAATGAAACTTCTAGGTGATGTTTTTGGCAGCCATTTGCATGACATGAAGGACCGACACAGAAGAAATGAGGCCTGTAGGACTTGAGGAGATGAGAATTTAAGGGCAGGTGAGAAACGTTAGCATTTTTCTTTTCCTTTTGACCCTTCTGCTCCAGATGCTACTCTTCTACATCAGTTCCTTCCTTTTCTTTGCAATTGTTCCTCTCTTGTTCTTCTTGCCTACATGTGTGGCTGTTGCTTTCCTTCTTTTCACTGAGTTTTTTCCCTCTCCCACTGCTCTTTCACATAATTAAGACAGTTTTTATTTGTTGTTAAAGTATCATTTTGATGCAATTTAATTTTCTATTTGAATTTTTTTTTTAATGTTTATTTATTTTTGAGAGAGACAGAGACAGAGAGTGAGTAGGAGAGGGGCAGAGAGAGAGAGGGAGACACAGAATCTGAAGCAGGCTCCAGGCTCTGAGCTGTCAGCACAGAGCCTGACTCGGGTCTCGAACTCCCAAACCATGAGGTCATGACCTGCGCTGAAGTCAGACACTTAACTGACTGAGCCACACAGTCGTCCCTTCTATTTGAATTTTAAAAGTTAAATTGCATTTGATTATTGTGTAGATCTTACTTGTCAGGGTTTTCTTTGCTTTTTGTTTTTTTGTAGGTCAGCAATCATTGATATTTTGTAAAGTTTATTTATTTTGAGAGAGAGAGAGAGAGAGAGAGAGAAAGAGAGAGAGAGAGAGAGAGAGAGAGAGAGAGAGAGAGAGAGAATCCCAAGCAGGCTCTGCACTGATAGTGCAGAGACACAGAGCTTGAACTCACAAACCATGAGATCATGACCTGAACCCAAATCAATAGCTGGACGCCTAACTGACTGAGCCACGTAGGCACTACAGTCATTGATATTTTAAAAACGACTTGGGACACCTGGGTGATTCAGTCAGTTAAGCATCCGACTTTTGCTCAGGTCATGATCTCACGGTTCATGGGTTTGAGCCCCAAATCGGGCTCTGTGCTGACAGCTTGGAACCTGGAGCCTGCTTCAGATTCTGTCTCTCCCATCTCTCTCTGCCCCTCCACCACTTGCACACACACACTCTCTCTCTCAAAAATAAGTAAACATTTGAAAAAAAGGGGGACTTTCTTACCCCCACCTAAATGCTTCATATTAAGGTTTTTACCTAAAACACAGTTTTTACCCAGCTCAAACCATCTTTCACTATCTGACTTCCAGATTCCCTATAGTGTTCCATGCTTTATAACTACATAGTTTTTTTGGTTTTTGGTTTTTGTTTTGTTTTTTTTTTTGAGAGAGAGAGCAAGAGCACAAGGAAGGTGCAGAGAGAGAGAGAAAGAGAGAGAGAGAATCTTTCCTAAGCAGGCTCCATACTGAGCACGGAGTCCAACACAGGGCTCACTGTGAGATTATGACCTGAGCCGAAATCAAGAGTTGGATGTTTAACTGACTGAGCCACCTGGGTGTCCCTATAACTGCATAATTTTTAGTAGTTATTGTTGGGATTCATACTTCCCAGTCTTATTTGAGGCTCATCATGCCATGTATTTTGTTAAAACATATAGACTTACATATTTACTTCTTAAGTTTATTTGCTTTTAAATTCTTTTTGAGTTATAGCAAGCAGTATATTAGGCCCTGGGAACAAAATAATGATGAGACACGGTCCCTACCCTCAAGAAAGTTATGTTTGGTAGGGGATACCAGACGTGTCTAGTGACTTAAGGATTACTAGGGCATGCTGGGTGTAGTGGAACACCGTGGGTACGGATGCAGCACTGACTGTAGATGCACTTACAGGCGGAGGGAACAGCACCATTACAAAAGTACACGTGATCTGTTTTTAGCTAGAGTGGAGTAGCTGAATAGGGCAAGAGGCTGAGAGCAGGAGCTAGATTGTGAAGGGCCTTCTGTGTCATGCATCCACTTTCAGATTTTGTCTTGTGATTTGGAAATATTGAAGATTTTAAGCAAAAGAGTTTGATCAGACTTGTATTTTAGTAAAATTACTTGGGTGCTAGTAAGACAAACCATAGAGGGTGGTAAGGTTAGAGCAGAGGGATCAGTTAGGCAGCTATTGCATTTGTCCTGGAAGCGTTACTGAAGGTTGCTAGTGGTGGTGTTTGGGTTACAGGAAATGTTAAGGAAGCAGAATTGACAAATTGGTAATTAGTTGATTATGAAGGCTGAAAGAGAAAGTGGAATCGAAACATACTTCTGAAGTTTCTGGTGGCAATGTCATTTACTGCAAGAGAGGGAACTGGAGGAGAAGCAGTGCTTTGTTGGGATGATGATGTTTAGTTCTCTTTACTGAGTTTGAGGTACCTGTGAGGTGTCCTGTGTATACTATATAGGGCTGAAGTTCCAAAGAAAGGTCCCAGCTAAAAATAGAGACTTGGGGACTGTCACAGTGTGGGGGAAGGTAAAATAAAATTCTGTTAGAGATAGGGTGGGGTGGGATCAAGAGCATCACTTAAAAATTGTTAGTTTCAGTGGCTCCTGGGTGGCTCAGTCGGTTAAGCGTCTGACTTTGGCTCAGGTCATGGTCTCACGGTTTGTGAGTTTGAGCCCCACGTTGGGCTCTATGCTGACAGCTCAGAGCCTGGAGCCTGCTTCAAATTCTGTTTCTTTCTCTCTCTCTGCCCCCCCCCCCCCCACCGTGCTCTGTCTCTCTCTGTCTCTCAAAAATACATAAATGTAAAAAAAAAATTGTTAGTTTTGAAAAGTTGTGAGAACACTTTTGGGTGTAAAGAGAAGGGAAGAAGATGGTAGTAGTCCTAGATAAATTTGTATGTTAGACGATACTGCTTAGACATCTCACACCCAGACCTTTTGAGAAGCAGAAGTCTTCCTCTTCTTTTTGTCCTCCTCCTCCTCTGCTGCTGCTCTTCTTCCACTCTTCCTTTTGCTCCCTTCTAGATTTTTATTTTTCATTATTTGTAAATGTCATATCTACCAAATATTTGCTTTATATAAAAAATTTTGGAAGGCAGTGTACTTCCCTCGGTGGTAATATATAAACCTACTTTTGATTTCCTCTTGAATTTTTTCAAATGGATTCTGAAAGTATTAGAATAGATTCTAGGACTTTTTAAAAATTCATTAGTGTATAGTTGACGTACAATGTTGCACTGGTTTCAGGTGTATGACCTAGTAATTCAATAATTCTGTATATTTTGAAATGTTCACCAGGATAAATGTAGTCACCATCTGTCACCACACAACATTTATTACAATATTATTGGTGATATTTCCTAGGCTGTACTTTTCATCTTCAGGACTTACTTATTTATAACTGGAAGTTTGTACTTTTTAATCCTCCTCACCTGTTTTGCCCCTCCCATCCCTTTCCTCTAGGACTTTTTAATAGAACAAGGTAAAATTTATTAAAAAATTATTAATCTAAATGTGATGTAACTAAACTTTTATGCTCATACTTGCTAGTGAAATAATAAAATCACTTTTGGGAATATATGATTTGATGAGAGCCAAATAAAACCTTGAAAGACTCATTATGTTATTTTTCTTTGGCCAAGCATGTTTTTATCTCACTTTTCCCAGCAGTGACATTGCACTGGCTGTATCAGATAGTTATTTGGGTTTTGTGTTCCTTTAAGTGTAATAGAGAGCCTTCAGGATTTAATTATTTGAAAGTAGCTGTAAAGGGAAAATTCAGTAAATTTATTTAGTGAATATAAAAGGTTATTTTCTGAAGAGAAGTGGAAGACTGCGTGTTGGGTAGTTATGGTTTTTCATTGAAAGTACCGAAGCTTAGTGTATTTAATTACTATAATCAACTACTCTGTTTAAAAGTCACATTTATTTATATTGCTAATTATAAAGGCAGTATATATTGTAGATAGTTTGAAAAATGCAGAACATTTTTTACAAAGAGGAAATAGAAATTAAAAATTAGAAATCCCTCTTAAATTCCTATTAACCAAAACATACCCATTATAAACATTTATATATATATACATTAAAAGTATATTATTTCTGCACAAATGAAATCATACTATATTTGCTGTGCTATATTTTTTCCTTATACTCTTCCTTCCCAATATTGAATGGGGAGAAAGTACAGTATGTTCTCAGTGACTGTAAGACAGGATTCAGTGTGTAAAGTATAATTTCAGAGTTCATACGTATGGTAAAATGTTCTCAGCCAAACCTCAAAAACAAACACAAACAAACAAACTTATTTCACAACAACTTTTATTCCTCTGCTCAATAATTCAAAGCTAAATATGATTGGAAAACTTGAAGTTGATTTTTATTTTATTGTATTTTGAAAACATATCAATATTCTGGAAACAAATTAATTTTCCCCCTTAATAAAAATTTTTTTTATGAAGTAAGGTGCAGATGAGAATCTACAGTGGTTAACCTAGATAGGTGGGTAATTTCTCTTTCCTGATCATTTGGCTAACATTTTATAGGTTTACCAAAACCAGCTAGTGCTCTGTTCCTAAGCAGTGTATCTGAGTTGCCTATTTTAATATATTTGTTATTATGCCCTGAACTTACCAGAGAGACAGCTCAGGAACTTGTTCAGTAAGTAGCCTCACTCTTTTTTGGTAAGGTTCAGTACTTTCTCTGTTACCATAGGAATCTTATATAAATAAACCGTAGCTAAAAATGTTATCTGTGAAGAGTCTCCTTTGAACTTAGAAAAGTCATGATTGGTAGCAATAGAATAAGCATTTTTGAAGACTGAAAGGGTAGAGCAGTTTCCCATTGGCCTGAGAACAGAGCCCTATATTTTGTGCTTAGGAGATCTTTGAGTTCAGATTCATTTCCTGTAAGTGCATAAGCAGATAGAAATCTTGAACAGCATGTTTTTACTTTCTAGTGTGTTTCAGGAAAAGAAACTATATCAACTGGAAAATTTTCACTGCTTAGTGCATTTAATCAATTGAAACTCTATACAGGCCACCTCTGTAATCTTGGCTATAATTAAGTCCGCTAGTATTTTAGATAACTTCTCTAAAGACAGTCCTACTAGTTTAACTTCTCAGTCATGTCTGTATTCTTCAGAAACCTTGCAAATGATAATCAGAACTGCAAGTGACTTGCCTGCAACTGATTTGACCATTGTCTGGAAAATCTATTTCTGATTTGCAGTGGTTTTTAGCACACAACGGAGAGTAATTAAATATTTATTATATGCCTATCATGTGCTAGGCACTGGGTTAGCCACAGGACATACTAAGCCAGCTCAGGCATGCTCCTTGTCTATAAGGAGACCACAGGAAAAAGGAAACAAAAATGGTCAGCTATACTATAATAAATGTATAACAGAGGTCTCAACTGGATAAGAGTCATGTACAAGGCTCATTTACCCTGTTAGAGAATAAATTCTTAGAGGACAGGGGCTGTTGTGATGTGTATCTTCATATCTCCTATAGTGAGTTGCACAAAATAAGGGTTTAAGAAACATTTATGCTCATCACACTTCTCTGTCAATCTTTAGTTACAGATGTATCTTTTGCTAGATATGGACTGAGTCAGATTTGGTTCTGATCAGGAATGATAAGATAATGAAGGTAAAAATAGCAGTGATCTTTTTGATAGGTAGGTTTTTTGGTGATTAAACACTATAAGAAGAGGGGACACATCAGTAAACAGTAATATTGTGATTGTACCATTATAGGAATGGCTAAGACGAAACGCTCCTTTTTAAATCTCTGCATTGTATGAGTTATATTGACTTTTTTCCTGCTCATAAGTAACAAGTAACATGACTTTTAACAAAAGAATGCTGATTTGTACTTGAGTACAGCCAAATGAACTTTTAAATTAATAGAGTTTATTTTTTCTGAGTGAATGTAACCTAGTATCTACTTCATTGTTAAAATTTTTATTATATTTTATTATGGCTTCCTTGTGCTATAAATACTTTTAAAATACTGCCACTGTAGGGCGCCTAGGTGGCTCTGTTGGTTGAGCTTCTGACTCTTGATTCCGGCCCGGGTCATCATCCCAGGGTTGCGAGATGAGTGTGGAACCTGCTTATGATTCTGTCTCTCTCCCTCTGTCCCTCTCCCCCGTTTATGTCCTCTCTCTCTCTAAAATAAAATAGTGCCATAATTTTTTAACCCTTTCATGTAACTAGATGGTTTTCTGTACCTTGGAATTAAATGCCATGGGTGGTTGTGTTTTGCTTTTTTATGTGTTTTTGTTTGTTTTAGCCTAGTAAATATTGCAGCATTAATCATTTGCTGTGGCAATAAGCTGTACTGGTGAAACTGCCTGGAAAGTGTTACTAGTTTACCTGTTATAATATATATATATATATATGTGTATTTTTTTTTTTTTTCATCTTAAACAGATCATTGAGGTTGGACTTTGTGAAGTTTTTGAATTGATCAAGGAGACGAGATTTTCTCATCCATCCCTGTGTCTGAGGAGTCTACAGGCCCTGCTTAACGTGCTTCAGGGTCAGCAGCCGGAAGGCCTCCAGTCAGAGCCCCCAGAGGTCCTAGGTGAGAGCCCTGGGCATTGGATGAAGTCTTTGAATGTAAATAGCTTCTCTTACGAAGCATGTACAGCAGCCTGTAATGCAGTTTTTTTTTTTTTTTTTAATGTATTGAAACAGCAAGGGTATAAATTTTAAGGTATTTTGCTATGTTCTACTGGAGTTCCAGTTTAAGAGTTTTAGTTCACACATAGACATTTCTTGATTATTGTGATGATGGGGAAAAAAGCAAAACATAAATCCTTGGAACCCAGAAATAATCCAAGCCTTATAAGTCACTACTAACTTAAATCATTCTTGTTAAACCTTTGGCCGAAATAGCTAACATTGACTTTCTCTAACTTTATATATTATTCTGGATAGTTAAAAAAGTGGGAAGAAAGTGAACAAATGCTACCAACCCCAAACAGCACAATTACTTTCCAAACAGGGCATTTCTTTTGTATTCATTATAAATAAAAATTAATTTTTGTTATAGATAATGCTTTTGAATTAGTAGCAACTTCCATTAAGTAAATATGTTTGCTTTTTGTAAAGTGTATTTGAATTTTATGAACACATGCCTTTCTTGCTATTGATGCAGGTTGAACACATAAAGAAGTTAGGAGCTCTTGAGGAATAGAAATAGAGATGGAGGCATAAGTTTGAAATTGGCTAATTGATTTTTTCTGATGCTAACCATGGGCCTTGAAAGTCTAGATTTTTCTAAATCTCAAGCATTGAGATTCATATCAGATTCATATGGGCCCTACCCGCAGAGTTTCTGATTCAGTAGATTTGGCATGGGGCCCAAGAATTTGCATTTAGAGTAAATTTCTGGGTGATGTTGCCAGTACTGCTCATCTGAGGACCGCACTGCTGGTCTGGACTAGAGTTTGATTTTTTTTTTCTACTTGGCTATTTGGTGTTTATTAGACCCACATGTGAGAACCTAATTACAGATCATACAGGTTTTGTTTTGGTGGTTGTTTGTTTGTTTGGCTGTGGGGGGTGGTGGTGTCACATGGTGATTAGTTTTTGTGTTGGATTTTTTTTTTTTTTTTTTTTTTTTTTTTTTTTGGTTTGGTCAGGGAGGAGAGTGCTTGCCATGAAAACAAGCTGAGGATTTAAAAAACACAATACCCTCCCCCACCCCATGTTATTAAACACTACTACTAAATAAAAGCTGTCATATGGTAAGAGGCAGGCACCTTGTTGATTACTGTTATGGTAACACAAGTGATCGTATTACTATTGTGATGCATTACTTGGCATCACAGCATCTTACCAAAGCTTTTTATTTATTTAATTGATTATATTTAAGGATATTTTGCTGTTCTTAGCTCTAGTTTGTCAATTAACAAATAATTGAAATATTTAAAATATCCACTAAAACCTGCACATCCTATTTATTACTTTGAACAGCATGCTAGTCATTTCTTTTTCCTAGATCCTCTGCCATTCAGTTATCTTTTATTAGTTGTCATATACCTTGTTTAGTATCTAGTCTATGTATAAATACTCCCTTTCCTTTATGCTTTTCAAAATAGATCTTGTTCTTAATACTGTTTTTGAAATTATAATGTGTGCTTCAGCTTAATCATCTTCTATTAAAACTTTCACCTGATTAATTTGTCTGTTTTTATTTTCTTGTTAACAGTTTCAAATGCTGCTATAATTCTTTGGTTTCTCTTTTATCCTTTCGGTGTTTGCTTCCTATCTCTTCCCTGTTTTGACTTATTTTTATATTGAGGGATTTAACATCACTTTATATTTCTTATTTGAAATGGCTTAATTAGCTCAAAGATGTAATTTGGCTCTTTAAAACTAAATTTCTATTGAAATCTGTCTGTTTTTTCCTTTGATCTAATAGCATAATCACATTAGTATGCTTTGTTTTTCATTTTATCCAGGAAAATATATACATATATGTGTATATCACTCTCACTGTTGGGATAGCTTGATGATTATGATACACCAAGCTTCTTCTCTTAGCAAATGGATTTTGATTTAGAAATTGTCTAGTTTAAAAAAAATCCTTGTTATATCTATCTTTCTGTTCAATTTAAGGTTGGAATGTATGTTCTTAAGTATTCACTTAAATATAATAGTATCTCCTGTGTGCTGTACTATGAGCATATAGTTCAGGGGTGATCAGTACAGACACTGTTGCTGTTATTATGGGACTTAGCATCAGATAGTTGGACACTTGTGTGATTGCAGGTATGGGTAAATAGTATGGGGGAAAGGAGAGGAAGTTCTAGGAGTCTATAACAGGCCTCCTTGAAGATGTGACATTGGAGATTTGAAGGATGAGTAAGAAGGAGTTAACTGAGTTTCTAGGCAAAAAGGACAGCATGCTATAAGTCTCTGACACAGAAAGGAGAATGACTGAACAAAGATTGGCTAGGATGTGGAGAGTGAAAGGAGGGAGGGCTTTGCCATAGGTGAGGAGGGAGGCAGAGACTAGATCATGTGGAGCTTCATACATCATGTTAAGGGAACCTGGCTATTGTTGTAGGAGAAATGGAAAGTCACTCACTATCTCCTCATGCTTAAAAAAATGTTCTTAATTTTATAGCACTTCTGTTTTCTTCCACTTGAATCTAACTTTTTTTGATGGCATAGATTCTTAGTCTTGTTTGCCAAAGTACTACCACAACCTAGAATCGTTTCTCATGCACAGGAAGAATTCAGTGAATATTTGCTGAGTAATTAAAGGATGAAGGGGCAGAAGGATAATGATGGAAGGAAGGATGGACAGATGGAGAAAGGGTAGATGAAAGGATGAGGGGAAAGGATAGTTGGAAGGAAGCACGAAGGGAAGGCTAAATGAAAGAAAGGGAAGACTGAAGGATGTACAGGCACATGAAGAAAAGTAGGGAGAATGGAAAGAAGGAAGAAGAGTAGGGACGAATTAACAAAGGAGCAAATGGATTTTAAATGGAAAACCAGATTTTTGGTTTAAAAATTCTCTTTGGATGTAAAAGAACAAAAGTGAAGGTGGGAGCTAATTTTTGAACACTTTTTAGTAGTCTGATTAACAGGTGCTGATAAAGAGCATAGTTTGGGAAGATGGTCATGAGACAGAGCAAGTGGAGGAATTCGGAAGCGAAAGTGACAGGGCTTACTAGGGATGAGATACATGGGAGATGAGGAATGGACAGAGGAAGGCTAGCTCTCTGTGAGTTAACGAATAAACCACAGATGGCTTTTAGTTTTTGGTGAGTTGCAGTACACGAATTCTCTTTTCTCTTTCTTTTGCTCTCTCTTTTCCCTTTCCCTTTCTTCATCTTCCTCAATTTTTCTTTTTCTGATTCTGTTTCTTTCCCCGTCTTGAGTGTTCACTCTTTAAGGATTTTCAAAATCCCTTCCCTTCTGCAGAAGAAATGCCTAGAGGTCTGTTGGTTCAGTTCTTGGACAGAGTTGTTCAGGGAATTTTGCATGGAAACTTCTGGTGGCCATCAAATGTTCAGGTGTTACTTTACCATCTCTGCCACTAAATGGCTTTATCATTTTGGAAAAATCTCTTTACCTCCCTGTCTCAATTTCATTGTCCATTGAAGGAGGAGGATATCTGTCCTATTGACTTGGAGGTTTTTCTAGGGTATAAAATGAATTACATACTTGTTTATAAATGTGAACTGCTGTTATGTTAGCAGTAAAACAATTTTATATTAAAAAAATTATAGCATGTATTTTTTATGTATTCTGTTGTTTTACACAAACAAATTTTCTGGACACTTAACATTTTAAGAAGCTCCAATTCTTCCCAGTGTGAAAGGTTAAATAAGTACAGTGAGTAGTCTGTTACTTGAGAGGATATTTCTTGAGTGTGTGAATGCCTCAAGATAAATTTCTTTTAAACAACCTGGGATAGATCCATTTATTTACAAAAGTGAAGAGTTGAACTAAGTGTTCTCTGAGGTCCTTTGTATATAAATATTCTAACTTTGGGGGGGAAAGGGTAACTAAAAAGGAACTAATACAAAGTAAGTGTTCTAGCTGCCTTAAATATTTTTTTTATAATGAGGCAAGTTATAAATAAATACACATTTAATGTTCTGTATGTTGAATGAATATAACTGAGTTCTATTTTATTCACAGAGGCTCTCTTCCAGCTCCTTTTGGAAATCACTGTTCGAAGTACTGGAATGAATGACAGCACAGGACAGTCTCTGACAGCACTTTCCTGTGCTTGCCTCTTTAGTCTGGTGGCTTCTTGGGGAGAAACAGGAAGGACACTTCAGGCCATCTCTGCTATCCTCACCAACAATGGCAGCCATGCTTGCCAAACTATACAGGTATTTCATTTATAGCTGCTTAGAAGGTATAAGATGCCAGGTTGGAATTTCACCTTAATTTCTGTCAGTAGGAATCCTCTGGTTTTGCTCACTCATTATAGTGATTTGATCTATCCAAGGTTGATGTGTGAATAATCCACAGTATATAAAGGTAATAAAATGAAATTTGGCAAAAAACTGTTTAACTTTTAAGCTGGGCTTTGTATCAACACTCCAGCCACCTCTTCTTTTGCATTCCCTGTTCTCTGCCCTCCCCCACCTCCCATCTTTCCCTAGTTTTTAAGTATGGAATTTTCAAGTATGCTCAGTGTCCCAATCCCTGCACTGTTCGAGAATCAAATGTGGTTTCTTATGGATTGATTTGTTTCTGAGCTTCTTCAGCTTTGCATATAACATTTTAAGCTTTTAATGTCTGATTGTGGAAGAAACTCTTTATTGTTGTTAGTAGTGGGAAATAGAATTCTCCTTATGGGCAAACTTGATTTAATTCCTTTGGATTGTTCTAGAAAATTGAGTAAGAAGTTACAGTTTTAGGTCTCTGTTATGTGTTCTTCACTGGCCCCTTGGGCAACATCCAGAACAGATGGAAGGACTGCTTCAATCCTGTTATTAGCAGACCAAGATAGCAAAAAGGGTATATGGGTCATTTTCTTGAACTTAATTCAGCAATGTTGAACTCTCCTTGTCAAACATGAGCGATCCCCTTATTCTAGATTTCTATTCTAGAGTCTATTCTAGATTTTCCTCTTTCTGCCCTGCCTGAAATCTTCTTTTCCCTTTTTATGATCCTTAATATTTTGAATTTCCTATAATGCAGTGTTTTTCAGAACTGTGTTCTGCAGTGGTACTTTGAGGTTTGGCAAAATTTTAATTTAAACACATGCTTAAAATACACAAATAATGCTTAATTTTAATGAAATAACACATTTACATATCATATTCCAAATTTTAAAAAATATAGTGACCATAAAAACATGAGCTTATTAGACACTGCGTGATTTTTTTCTTGTGTAGACTCCTTTCAGAGGATATGAAGTAAGATCTAAATGATGAGTTGAAAGTAGCCACTCCAAAGGGAGGAAGTGTTACCGCTGGGGATGTGGAGGGAGAAATTTTCTTGGTATTACATGCTAATGCATGGAGGTTAAGATTAAGAGTAGAATACTGAAGTCTGAAAGAAGTTTAGTATAGTTCTAGTATAGAGAGCTTTCAGCTAACAGAGACAGGACTTGCATGTTTGTCTGTCTGATTGCAATATGCTTAAGCACTAGGCTGTGCACAATTACTAGATCCCCTGAATTAATAGCTGAGGTTCCCTGGACCTGCCCTGTCACTACATTCCCATCACCAGCCCAAACACCATGTTAAAGCCTATTATCTTAACATTATCTTTTTTTAAGTTTATTTATTTTTGAGAGAGAGAGAGAGAGAGAGGGAGAGGGAGGGAGGGAGACAGAACAAGCTGGGTAGGGCAGAGAGAGGGAAATACGGAATCTGAAGCAGGCTGCAGGCTCTGAGCTGTCAGCCCAGAGCCTGATGCGGGGATTGAACCCACAAGCCATGAGATCATGACCTGGGCCAGAGTTGGACGTTTCACCCACTGAGCCACCCAGGCACCCCTATCTTATACGGTGTTCTTCATGACTTGGCCTCATTCCACCTACTAACTTCAGTTCACAAAATTCTCTTGGCCAGGCTATGGGTGGAGGGAGAAAACTCTTCCCGGAGAATGTGTAACTCTAACATCTCAAATTGTTTTGGGATTCAAATGCATATTAGCTGTCTTTTTCCAAAGATATTAAGCTGAGATTTTAAAGTAGGGTAGGGATGATAGTACCATGAACTACCATATTGAAGGAGACTTAAAATCTTTTTTTGGGGGTGCCTGAGTGGCGCAGTCGGTTAAGCGTCCGACTTCAGCCAGGTCACGATCTCGCGGTCCGGGAGTTCGAGCCCCGCGTCGGGCTCTGGGCTGATGGCTCAGAGCCTGGAGCCTGTTTCCGATTCTGTGTCTCCCTCTCTCTCTGCCCCTCCCCCGTTCATGCTCTGTCTCTCTCTGTCCCAAAAATAAATAAACGTTGAAAAAAAAAAAATTAAAAAAAAAAAAAAAAAATCTTTTTTTGGAGGAATGAACTCCAGGCTTTAAAGGCACATCTGAGCTTACAAACAAAAACAACATAGAAAAAAAAGGCACCGTTATTGAGAGTTAGTAGAAACAAATATGGCAGAATCAGTCCTGCCTAGTCTATATATGTTGAAATTATTTGATATAGACCATAAAACGTGTGTGTGTATGTATAATGTTTAAATTAATAAAAGAAGGTATCACAAGTACAATTAAGGAATAAGAATGTAAATGTAAAAAGTAATCATATCAGAAAATGAACCAAATTCAACTCCCGGAAATAAAAAAACCAAATAACTACAATCTGAAATTTAAAGGCTGAGTTAACCATTGGGTATAAAAAGGGAAAAAAATTATTCAGAATGCAACACAGAGAGACAGAGAAAATATGGAAGACACAATAGGAAACATGAATAGAGAATGACAAAACATAATGTATCAATACAATTTGAGTTCCACAAGGGCAATAATGCATTATGGAGAGGCAGTAGTTGAAATAGTGGGCAAAATTTTCCAAAATTGGTAAATGACATGGAATCCTCAGATTAAGGAAGTCTAGTTTATCAGAATAAATTCCCTAGGCCCTGCCACAGTGTTGGTGAGAGAAAATCAAACAGAGAAAAAAACAGTGTATCTGAGACTTTTTATTATAGCACTGGGTTATCTTAAAACTTTAGTACCCTTTTAGAAAGCATGAAAGAAATAGAGTTATGTTGAAGAAACATGTTAAGTTTTTGCTCCTTCGCTAGTTTCAACTTAGGTTATAATAAAGAAATTTTTTTTAATATACACTTTTAAGAATGGGACACATTTTTGGTAGAGAGAAGTTGGAGAAAGCTTGAATTTAAGTTCCTTAAGAGGCAAATGCCCATAGAAAGTAAGTTGATTTTCACTTAAAACTCCAGATAAGATTTGGAGTTGGATGTAATAGGTACTTGGAAAGTGGTGGTCAGGGCAAGAGCTAAAAATTGATTGGAAATCTGTATTATGAAAGGTAGAGAACCCCAGGGCCCTTGCTTTGCCCTTCCCAGCCAAGCAACTGTCCTTCTGTCATACACCAAAGAGATACGTTTACTGTCTAAAGAAATTGAGTCGGAGAAGCCAGGGGAAAGCAGACACAGTTGCAAGTGGAATTAGGAACTAGGCTGAAAATGGAGATTAAGTGAAAGTGTTTGTATTAATGATGAAATTTCCTTATCCTCACTGAGTTTCCAGAACACTGGCCATGAGGCGACTTACAGCTTCTAGGAAACAGACTGGCAGATTCTTCTTTGGAGAAGGAATGAGAAAAGACCCACAGATGCAGATATTTGAGGGGTCCTCCAATACCCTGTCCATTCACACCGAGCTTTCTACCAGATTTTTAGTAGTTTACTCTTAAAAATAAGTGTACAACCAGATTATTTGGTTTTTGGATGTTGAGTTTGGTAAGTTCTTTATAGATTTTAGATATTAACCCCTTATCCAATATGTCATTTGCAGATATCTTCTCCCATTCTGGAGGTTGCCTTTTAGTTTTGTTGATTGTTTCCTTTACTGTGCAGAAGCTTTTTATCTTGATGAAGTCCCAATAGTTCATGTTTGCTTTTGTTTCCCTTGATGGAGATGTGTCTAGTAGGAAGTTGCTATGGTTGAGGTCAAAGAGATTGCTGTCTGTGTTTTTCTCTAGGAGTTTGATGGCTTTCTGTCTCACATTTAGGTCTTTCATCCATTTTTAATTTATTTTTGTGTATGGTGTAAGAAGTGGTCCAGTTTCATTCTTCTGCATGTTGCTGTCCAGTTTTCCCAACACCACTTGTTGAAGAGATTGTCTTTATTCCATTGGATATTCTTTCCTGCTTTGTTGAATATTACTTGACCATATAGCTGTGGGTCCATTTCTGGGTTTTCTATTCTGTTCTGTGTCTGTTTTTGTGCTATACCATACTGTCTTGATGACTACAGCTTTGTAATATAGCTTGAAGTCCAGAATTGTGATGCCTCCAGCTTTACTTTCCTTTTTCAAGATTGCTTTGGCTATTTGGAGACTTTGGTGGTTCCATATAAATTTTAGGATTCCATGTTCAAGCTCCATGAAGAATGCTGGTAGTATTTTAATAGGGATTACAGTAAATGTGTAGATTGCCTTGGGTAATATAGACATTTATATAACAGTATTTGCTGTTCTAATCCATAAGCATGGAATGTTTTTCCATTTCTATGTGTCATCTTCAATTTCTTTCATAAGTGTTTTGTAGTTTTCAGAATACAGATCTTTTACCTCTTTGGTTAGGTTATTCCTAGGTATCTTATGGTTTTTGGTGCAAGTATAAATGAGATCGATTTCCTTGATTTTTCTTTCTGCTGCTTCATTATTGGTATATAGAAATGCAACAGGTTTCTGTACATTGATTTTGTATTCTGTGACTTTGCTGAATTCATATATCTGTCTAGCAATTTTTTGGTGGAGTCTTCCAGATTTTCTACATAGAGTATCATGTCATCTGCGAATAGTGAAAGTTTGACTTCTTCCTTGCCGATTTGGATGACTTTTGTTTCTTTTTGTTGTCTGATTGCTAAAGCTAGGACTTCTAGTACAATGTTATATAACAATGGTGAGAGTGGGCATCCCTGTTTTATTCCTGACCTTAGAGGAAAAGCTTTCAGTTTTGCCCCTTTGAGGGTGATATTAGCTGTGGCTCTTTCATATATGGCCTTTATGATGTTGAGTTATGTTCCCTCTATCCCTACTTTGTTTTTATCAGGAATGGATGCTGTACTTTGTCAAACTTAAACTTTTAGCTTGTTGGATTTGATTTGCTAGTATCTTGTTGAGAATTTTTGTATCCATGTTCATCAGGGATATTGGCTTGTAATTCTCCTTTTTAGTGGGGTCTTTGTATGGCTTTGGAATCAAGGCAATGCTGGCTTCATAGAATGAATTTGCACCCAAAAAACACATAATCCAGTTCAGAAATGGGCAAAAAACATGAATAGACATTTTTCCAAAGAAGACATACAATTGGCTAACAGAGACATGAAAAGATGCTCAATATCATTCATCGTTAGGGAACTACAAATCAAAACTACAGTGAGTTACCACCTGACACCTGTCAGAATGGCTAAAATTAACCACAGAGGAAATGACAGGTTTTGGTGAGGATGTGGAGAAAGGGGAACCCTCTTGAACTGTTGGTAGGGATGCAAACTAGTGCAGCCACTATGGAAGACAGTATGGAGGTTCCTCAAAAAGTTAAAAATAGAACTACCCTGCAATCTAGCAAATGCACTGCTGGGTATTTATCCAAAGGATACAAAAATACTGATTCAGAGGGGCACATGCACCCCAATGTTTATAGCAGTGTTATCTACAATAACCTAATTATGGAAAGAGCCCAAATGTCCATCAATTGATGAATGGATAAAGAAGATATGGTATATATGTACAATGGAATATTACTCAGCCATCAAGAAGAATAAAATATTGGGGCACCTGGGTGGCTCAATCAGTTGAGCGCCGACTTTCAGTTTTCGACTCAAGTCATGATCTCATAGTTTCTTGAGTTTGAGCCCTACACTGGGGTCTGTGCTGATGGTGTGAAGCCTGCTTGGCATTATTTCTCCCTCTCTTTCTGCCCCTCCCCAGCTCATGCTGTCTCTGTCTCTCACAAAATAAATAAATAAAAACTTAAAAAAAGAAAAGAATGAAATCTTGCTATTTGCAATGACATGGATGGAGCTAGAGTGTGTTATGCTAAGTGAAAAAAGTCAGAAAGACAAATACCATATGATTTCACTCACCTGTGGAATTTTCAGAAACAAAACAGATGAACATAGGGAAAGATGAACATAGGAAAGAAAAAAGAGAGAGAGGGAGGCAAACCATAAAATAAACTCTTAACTGTAGAGAACAAACTGAGGGTTGATGGAGGGAAGTGGGTGGGAGATGGGCTAAATGGGTGATTGGTATTAAGGAGGGCACTTGTGATGAGGACTGGGTGTTATATGCAAGTGATCATTCACTAAATTCTACTCCTAAAACTAATATTACACTGTATGTTAGCTAACTAAAATTGAAATAAAAGCTTGAAATATTAAAAAAAGATAAAAAAATAAAATACAACAAAAAAAGCATACAACCAAGTATCACTAGGCTAACATGAAAAACAGAGATTCCCTAAATCAATAATGATAATGATAATAAAAGAAACTTTGAATAAAAAGAATATAGAGACAGAAGAAACTAAGAAGACTGTAATTAATATTTTGATGAAGGATAAGAGAATACTGTTTACATTAAACATCAGTATGCTGTTTTTTAAGCTCATAGAACAAGAAAAACTTTTATAAGTTAAGACAACAGCAATAAAATCAGTAGAAGGGTTAGAAGATCAGGTTGAAGCAGTCTCCAGAAAATAGAAAAAAGAGAAACAAAATAGGTGACATAAAATAAAATTGGATCTAACCAGGAAATACAATCCCTCACAGGTATTCAAACAGAGAAGAGGAAATAAATTACTCAAGAAATCTTACAAGGAAAATTCATGTGCCTCAAAGATATACATCTTCAGATTGACAGAATACACACAGAGTGCCCAACATTCATTATGAAAAAAGAATCAAACTAGGATACAACTTTGTAAATCAGAACACTGTTAATTAACAGACTGTAAAGTTTCCAGAGAGCAAAGACAGATTATGAACAAATATCAAACAGAATGGCATTAGACTGGTTCAAAGCAGCACTGGCATAGAAAATAACAGTGCCTTCAAAGTTCTCAGAGAAAATGATGTTCACCATACCTAGTTCAACTAGCAGTCATGTTTGAGGGACGATGAAGATGGCTTTTGAACATGCATGATATTGAACAATTTTAACTTCCACGCCTGCCTCTTCTTTAGTTTAGACCAGAACAAGGTTTTATGAGGGGTGTTGCCAAGCGGAAGAAGTAGAAATGATGTTTGACTTTCTTGAAAGGTGTATGGGGAACCCTTAAGGGAAGGTATAGAGAAAACTTAGCAAATGCAAAAATAGGGCAATTGTTGACTTAATGAAAAAAAAAAATTACACAAGGAAGGAAATGTAATATACAATTTGGCTCATGAGCCATGATTACACAATCATAATAAGTGACCTTTGAATACTAATTTAACCAGAAATTATTATATATAGCTCAATTTTGAGGATTTGGGGAGGGAGGAGAGCATCATTGTTCATAATAGACACCAACAGAAAGTATCTGAAACAAACAAAAATATTAACAGTGGAAGCTTTGGCATATTATATAGTAATATGGATATCAATTCTAGATAAAATAGCCATAAGTTTAATATAGCTACTTCTAGTGAAAGAATTTGTAGTATTCAACTATGTATATATTATATACATAAATCTATTATATATATAAGTATATATAGTATAAATTACATATCTTGGCTGAGTCAGAGGCCTTAGAACTGGAAGAAGAGGAGACTGTATGAACAGCGGGTCACTTCTTCCTATGAAAGCTCTATCCTCTACAAAGTGCTGTCCAATGGAAATATAATGTAGTCTATGTATGTAATTAAAATCTTTTTATTAGCCACATTAAAAAGGTAAAAAGAAATAGGTGTGGTTAAATGTGTATGTATTAATGATGTATTTCACTCAACTCAGTATATCTAAAAAATAATTTCAACATGTAATCAATATAATATTAAGATTCTGTACTCTTGTTTTTATGCTAAGTCTTCAAAATCCAGTGGGTATTTTGTATTTAAAGCACTATAACCACATTTCAGGAGCTCAGTAGTCAGTCACATGTGGCTAATGGCTGCTATATTGGACAGTGTGGCTTGGCTGTATTGTTGGATGTGGTAAAAGAGGGACAAAAGGTGAGGAACAGAATTTCCTCTGCTGGCAGAGTGCTGGTCCCATGCTGGTGACTGTTGAGGACTCATTTAATGTGACAGGTATTTATAGCAGGTCTTTGATGAATATTGGATAAATGAGTGCTGAATGAATACACAATTAACAAATGAGTTTTCATATTATGGAATATTGTTGATGTTGATGGGTATTAGTCATAATGGAGAAGCAAAGTGGAAGAGAAACATTGGAAATTTTGTTTCATCTGTAGAAGCCACACCATTCTCTTATGCTTAAATTTGTGCTTCGTGGGGCGCCTGGGTGGCGCAGTCGGTTAAGCGTCCGACTTCAGCCAGGTCACGATCTCGCGCTCCGTGAGTTCGAGCCCCGCGTCAGGCTCTGGGCTGATGGCTCAGAGCCTGGAGCCTGTTTCCGATTCTGTGTCTCCCTCTCTCTCTGCCCCTCCCCCGTTCATGCTCTGTCTCTCTCTGTCCCAAAAAAAATAAATAAACGTTGAAAAAAAAAAATTAAAAAAAAAAAAATTTGTGCTTCGTATCATGAAGCATATTAGTAATTATGCATAACATATAAAATATTTTGGCTTATGTGTATTCTAATACGGTGTAATTTTATTTATATCCAGTATTCATACTTTTTACTAATCTAGTATGTTTCCGTCCACAAAACTTGAAATCATAGGCAGTACTGGTTATTGAGTGTTTTGGAGAAAGATGCAATATTTCAGTGTTTTGAGCCAAACTGTCAGTTAATAATCTTTGGATTTGACATTTTTATTTTGGGCTGCTTGAAATTTGCTTCTTACAATAAACTTCTAGTTAGTACTTTTTACTGATGTGCCAAACCATGATAATTCTGAGCAATTTATTTTCTCATAAATGATGACATATTACTGAAGTATCTTTATTTTGTCTGTGTTTGGGACATTTAAACATGCTTTTTTATTTGTTTCTTGTCTTTTAAATAGGTGCCAATGATACTAAATTCACTACAGAGAAGTGTACAGGCAGTGTTGGTGGGAAAAATTCAAATTCAGGACTGGTTTAGCAATGGCATTAAGAAAGCAGCTTTAATGCACAAGTGGCCATTAAAGGAAATATCCGTTGATGAAGATGATCAGTGTCTACTTCAGAATGATGGATTTTTTCTTTATCTGTTATGCAAGGATGGATTATACAAAATAGGCTCTGGATACAGTGGAACAGTTAGGGTAATGTGATTCCTTACAGTTCTTAATTCTAGCAGAAGTTATCCCTAATTGTGTTTTGTTTTCAGCTTCGTTTTTACAGTACTATTTAATTTTGATGTAATCATAATGGAAACGCAAGGATAAAATGTCATCTGTTTATGTTATTTTTCATTGATTATTAATTATGCAACTGTTGATGGGCTTTTTTGTTACTTTGCAGGGCCATATATATAATTCTACATCTCGCATCAGAAACAGAAAAGAAAAAAAGTCTTGGTTAGGGTATGCTCAGGTAGGAGAATATCCACAATAAACCACACTTTTCTTTCTTATAGAGCATGTGGCTTGTACTTGTTTGATCAATAAATAATGTGACTTCTGTTTAAACAGATATGGTATATTTTTACTAATATGGCTAATAACAATGATACAGTGTAGTATAGAGAACATTGGCTTAGAATTCACGAGAGGTTTACTTTTAGTTCTGACCATGATCTTTACTAGCTGTGTGACTTTGGACAACTCAGTTAACTTATTTGATCCCCTGCTATTTAGCCAAATTTTGTGAATCTCTAGATAAGAATGGAGACCACCATTGCCATTAGTAAATATGAATTGGGAATGTATCCATGACGTGAGTCCAAATTAGAATTTCTTGCCACAAGACCCTCCACTTTAAGCCTAGATCAGTACCTTCCAGGGAACAGTGCGTGGTCTGCCCAGGGCATAGTTACCTATATGGAGGATCATGCAAAGTATCCCCAAAGAGTAAAGTGGTAGGCCCATGTTGCTTTCTTAATGCTGTGATCTCATCACCTGACTAATGTGGCCAAATGGGTGTCAGCAATCAGACACACTACTACACTCTTCACCTCCCATGAAGAGAAGCGAATGAAGGATGGAAAAGGGCCAGAAGTGTTTATTTCCATACTCTCCCTTCCTGAGAGGTAAAATACAAGCTCCCTTGTGGAAGGATGTTGAATAAATATGTCCCCGCATACCTGTCTTGCTCAGCTCAGAGCTTGTTGTCATCATCAGATTATAAGATATATTTGAAAGGATTTTGAAAATTAAAGAAATTGTTGTTATATGAAAAATAATTGTGCTAGATCAACTATTGGGGAGATTTTGAAATTAAATTTTAAATGTCAAATTAATTTCTCAGCGATTGTCTTTTAAAACTTAACATGGTTCAAAACATCAAATTGTTATTTGCCACTATAGTATGTTATAAAGAATAAGGACGTGGAAGTACGTTCAGTGACATATCATTCCATCTCAAACCACTACTCTATTCATTTCTTAATATTAACCTAAATATTTCAGCTATATTTCCTTAAAATATTTCTTAAAGTAACAGTAGTCATTTCTATTATTTACTTGGCAAATGATAAAATAATTTTGAGCAAGATGTCTGTACTGGCCTGTGTGGTGTATCTCATATATGTATCTGAGAATGTAATAGGTTAAATTGATACTCAGTGGTATACGATTCCTCCTCTTATTAAAGCACACCTCAGATACTTGTATTTTTAATATTTAATCTGTTGTAGACATGAAATTTAACATATTATCATACCTCAGAAAACTATACAGACCTGCATGACTATTGTTTCTGCTAAATAGCTAATGAAACGATATTTGTACACATAACACAGCAAAATATTTTGTTGTTTACAGGGTTATTTATTGTATAGAGATGTGAATAACCACAGCATGACAGCCATAAGAATAAGCCCTGAAACACTGGAACAGGATGGTACTGTGATATTACCAGGTATGTTATTCAACTAGTCATTTGTTTTCTTTACAGGTAAATTTTAAGAGATGTGCATGTTGGGCCTTTGGACCTATAAACAATGATTAGCAAGGGATAGTACTTGCTTATAAATAGGTTGAGAAAAATCTTGACATACAAAAATGTTATAGTGTGTATAAAGTTAATGCATGTGAGGAAAACAGACATCAGAAATATAGCATAAATCGTTTCAGTGTTTGTTTTCAAATCACTGCCCATCTGCAGCCTGGTCCTTCACCCTCACCACCAAGACTAATTCAGCTGCTGAATAAGGGGGTGAGGTTACTTTGTTGCTCCTAATGAAACCATGACTCTGGCTCTTATAAAACTTGGTATGAAGAACTCTCTGTTAATTTTTATTTTTACTTTAATAGCAGTACACTTTGGGTTTTCCTCTTCGTATGAAAGGGTTTTCAGAGACAGATTTTAGAATGGATCAGGAATTTTTTTAATTCCATCATTTATACTTTTTAATAATACTCTGGTAAGGCACATTGGACACATTTCACTTTGCTTTAATTTTGAAGTTGCACATACGCATTTATCTCTTAAATCACTGTAGTTTCTAAATTCTGGGGCAGTGGATCTTAAATTTTGTAGAACACTGGGCAAATGCATGATATCCATTTTAAAATCTTTGAATTTGCATATACCTTTAATGCATAGTGAGGAAGTTTGTTTATATTAAAATCTTAAATGTTTAATGTGTCTATCAGTAATTTCATGAAGAGCAGCAATACTACTTTTAGTCACTTGACCATCTGAAAATGATTGAGAACTACTTCCGAAGAATACATTGGGAAGGATAATTGTTCCCAAGCTGCTTGTTAATTTTTTAAAGATTCCTTCAACTTCATCAAACATTTATTCAGATGTTGCTATGCATATATATATATATATATATATATATAT